AAGGGAGGAGACCAAACTCATGGCACATGCGCTGAGCACTTGTTTGTCAGACTAACAGCAGGGTTTGACCAGGAAGCGGGCGCCATCTTGGAATGGCGTTGCCACCGCGCCCCACATCTAATGGTAGCTAGTATTTTGTGACCATTCTAAGTTTGAACTTCTTACTCTTGCCTCATGCTTCTTTTTGTGCAATACCCCATTAATGGTGTCCAGCTAAAGATCTCCAGAAACACTCCTGTAGTTGAACAGGTTTGGTTTGTTACTTGTTGCAGTGAAGGAGAGAACACACATCCTGGGGATCGGGGGTCTCAGTGAAAGGCTATTAGGATGGACCTTATGGGATTTGGGCTTTGGTGGGGTGATATGAGGGAGGGCCTAAGAAAGCAGGGATTCACTCTAGATCGGATGCTATCAGAGAGCAGGGCAATTTTGTGATCAAAGACCTCAATGACGTATCTACATACAGGGAGACTAGAGAGAGAATAAAGCAGTCATTGGCGAAGATGTAGCAGTCACGCATTTTGGCTGGGAGATGGGGGGGGTTTGGTATTCATAGACACTACAGTGACCTTGATTTCTGTCTGTGCTTAGGCAAACTTATGAAGTGGACTTGCTTTGTCGTATTTTGTCACAGCTTCAGAGAAGTCCTGTGAGAGGCTGGCGTTCTGTGACATGGTTTATGTTTAATGGAGAATCACAGGATCTAGCTGTGAGAGACAGGCTGGCTTCTGAGTGCCAGGGATGCTCTCATTTCTTTCTTGAGCGTTAGACAACTAGAGTTCATTTGTTCATTCAACAAAAAAATTTCTTGGAATTTACTACTGGACATTTGTTTATGCGCTGGGCCTCTGACAATGAACAAGAAAAACATCTGTGTGTATACTACAGTATCTTACATTCTCATCAGGGGTGACAAAGAAGGAAACAAATGAAGAAACGAAATATTTCTAGCTCTTGATAAGAGCTATGAAGAAAGTAAACAGGGTGTTGTGATAAAGGATAATGAAGGAGCGGCCGATACTCAGAATGAGGACAAATATTACTAGAGTTGTGTGGGGGGCTTTTGTGAACTGACTGAGGTTAGAATTCAGATTTCCTGTGCCACAGTTTAATTTCCTTAAACCAAATCATCCTCTTGAATTATGTAAGTTGGGTCTCTTATGGTACACACACACACCTTTCTACAGGTGACACTAGACCTACCAACAGTTACAGAAGAGAAGATTTTGTTGTCACATAAGAATATTAGAAATACTTAGGATTCCCAAATCTGGTAGGGGAAAGTACAGGGTCATGATGAGTTGTTTGAAAATTGACATTTGTATATTGTTGGGCTTGCAATCTGCTCATCTATCTCAGAGCGGTGGCATGGGAAGTAAACCAAATATGGAAGATATTTTGAAGAGAAAAATTCTTTTTAAGCTACTTTAATTATTTGCATGACAATACACATGCAAAGCCACTGTTTTTCCTGTCGTCTTGCAAATTAAATTACATGGACCTAATTTGTCAATTTCTGCTTCTATATTTTTGAGTATTAATTAAAATGAAACAGAATTCCTTTGTTTTCCTCAGAAAGACATAACTTATTACTTAAGATCTTTTTTACTGTCTTTTGATTTTCTTTGGTCCCATTTTATATCAAGTGGCTTCTCCACAAGACCAGCATCCAGCACCAATGAGCTATTTCTTAAATTGATTAATCTGCTGTTACATGGACAAAAAGTCATATTTACATTGCTTAATATAATTAATTCACTCAAGTTTGTGAAGAAAATTTATATTGCACAAACCTTATTTTTATGTAGATGACTAATATCAAATCAGAGATTTGTTCTGTTAGAAGAAATTGTGCCTTCTGATTATGGTGACAACAAGAAAACAAAAATAAAGCTTACTTTTAAAATGAACACATAGAAATGATAAATACTCAAGGTGATGGGCACCCCAAACACCCTGACTTGATCATTACACAGTTTATGTGTGTTATACAACATCACATGTGCCCCACAAATATGTAGAAATATTTGTATCAACACAAACAATCCAACTCCCCTATTAGTAGTTTTATAATTGTAGATTAAAATTAAAAATTAACAATACTTATTAAACTTTTAATAACATTAATTCTGTATTCTACTTTAAAATAGTAATTGATGTAGTATCAAAGATCCAGGAATAAGATCATCTCCTTCACATCTCCCTCTTGCAAATCTTCTTTTTCCCTTTAGCAAATCTTCATTTGTTTTACATTTTATTTAATTATTTTAATTTTCTTTTGCATATTTCCTATTATTGATCACCTGCTGGCTCTTTGTTTCTGGTAATTTTAGCTGGCAACACTTAAACGAATTGTACCTTTGGGCAACACAAAGATAAAGTCTTAAAAGTTCAATCCTTCCTTAGCAATGAAGGTTTGCTCTAAAAGCTACTGGGATATTTATCTGGAGATGGATGTCTCCTTAGTGTATTAAGAGGTTGCTTTTTATCTTTCTGTCTCTAACTGTAAGTGACCACTTGTGTACCTTGGCAAAGAAGTGTTCGGGCATTAAAATGGTATAAATATCATTAAGCAAGGTATGGGCTGATGGTTGATAGCCACTTAACCAGTTGAGAGTTTAGACTGTGACCAACACATTAGGGCTAGTCAGAAGCTTTAGTAATCAGTAGAGACAGGAACAAGATGGCACCACAGAAGCAATCAATTTGCAAGTTGGAAGGATATTGCATTTGAAATTTGGTTTATACCTTCCTCTTGGCCAGAAGTCTGCCTAAGAAATGTCTGGACTGTTTTCTGTTTCTCTTTCTAATACAGTGTTATATTTTTGGTTTATGAATATTAACTTAGTTCCTCTTCACTCAGTACTGTATCTTGTATTGAATTAATATTCTTGTTTTTATGCAGATATTGTTGTTTGTGGTTTTTTGGTGTTTTTTTTTTTGCCTAAGATGTTACCTGAAAAATCTAGGAATAAGTAAATTTCAGTGCCCATTACAGAGCTATGCTTACATACTACCAACATTTATACTAAAAGACTATCAATTTATTAAGAGACGGGATCACAGCATTTTCTGCATCCTTCACAACAAACTTCTAGCTCCAAACTGACTGCATGGGAGGCCCTTTATTACTCTGCCAATCCTTATTTTGAGAGATGGCTGTCTTTTATTCCTAGACATGATGCTCATTTAATGGAAAGCTGCAACGTTATGAAACATAAACACCCCAAACAATACATGGCTACATTTATTTTCCCTGGTGTTCTGGGACAGAAAGATGGGGTGAGAAAGGCTGAGAGAGGTGAGGAGAGGGATGAAAAAGACTTCCAGACATAAAACACAGAAGATGAGTGAAAGATGGATGATATATATATTTTTTTTTTTGTAGAAAAAAATCAGTGACTATTTTCTTTAGATTCTTGTGCTATTCTAATGAACAGGCTGTTTTTTGAGCTAAGGAGATTTGGAAAAGTCAGGTTTCATTCTGTGGCTTTGTTACCTTCTCCAAGTGGTGCTTTGAGAGTGGGTTTTTTTCATTTCTGTCATTCTGTGTCTTATTTTTCCTTTATTTTCCCATATTGGTGGGCAAGGCCCCTGCTAAGCATGTGTCAGGTGTTGGATGAATGCCTGTGGATTGGCTTTGGGGTCCCCCACATTCTGTAACCCACTTGTCAGCTCTGTTCTCATCTTCTGGCTCTGGAAGCCACAACTGCTCTCTCTTGTTTGTCCTGTGACCACCTGATGCAAATCCAATATCTCTTTGTCATCTCTTAAAGGAATGACTTACCCAGGAACCTGGCACACTGAGAAGATTTCACTGAGGATTTTATAGTGAACACAGAAGAAGAGATTTTCCCATATTAATCAAATTTACCATTGTCACTAGACAAGTCTATTTTATCCTCAGCTGTGTAGCAACTGAGGCTCTCTGTTCCCTTCCCCCAGATGAGGGCTCTTCTCTTCATTTCTTGGATTTTCTTGGGGTACTTCAAAATTTTAATCTCTTTGTCCTGAAGAGCAATGAAAATTACATTATGAGAAGTTCTTTCACCAGCTGTGATGGTTAATTTTATGTGTCAACTTGAATGGGCTAAGGGATTCCCAGATATCTGGTAAACATTACTTCTGGGTGTGTCTGTGAGGATGTTTCTGGAAGAGATTAACCTTTGAATCAGTAGGCTGAGTAAGGACCACCCTCATCAATGTGGGCAGGTGTGTCCAATCCAGTGAGGGCCTGATGGAACAAAAAGGCAGAGGAAAGGTGAATTTGTTTCCTGTTTGAGCTGGGACATCCATCTTCTCTTTGTTTTTGGTCCTTATGACTTGGACTGAATTACACCACTGGTTTTCCTGGTTCTTCAGCTTGCAGGTGGCAGATTATGAAACTTCTTGGTCTCCATAACCACGTGAGCCAATTCCCGTAATAAATCCTATATCTAATCTATCCTACTGGTTCTGTTTCTCTGGAGAAGCCTAAGATACCAGATTTTACCAAGATAATAACTGCCTCTCAGCTTCATTCTAAAGCCTTTTCTTGGCATATTGCATCCCTGGCTCTCTAGCTGTCCACCCCCATTATTTGAGAGTAAATGTAGGAAGTAAATGGGAAAACTGTATAAGTAAATATGATTTGTGTTTCCACAAATGATTGCTACAGTTCTAGGCCATTCTGAATATTCATCTTAGAAAAGGGAACACAAAATTCAAAGGACACATTTCCTCTTATCTTTCTTCTGGCTGTAGATCTTTCCTCTTTCCTGCTGTTTCTCCGGTCTTCCTTAATTTGTTGGCTGCCTTTGCCATTTTTACAGATCTTGTCATTATGTTAATTTTTCGATTATCCTTGGTTGCAACTGAGAGTTGCATGGAAAAACAAAATTTATTATCCCTATTTCCAGAGATATTCACTATCCCTAAACTTTTTAAGATATTTGCTTCAGCTTCTTTGAGCAGCGTTGTAAAATAAACTTATTTCAATTTTATCTTTCTTGCACTCCCAGGTTATCTTTGCTGAAGAAACGCATTTCGGTGGTGAACACAGAGGTTGGAAGTAAGTAATAAGTGTTTGTATTGATGGTTTGCTCTTCGGAATGGAGACTTGTTCAAAATAATCCATATCAAAACTTTTAAGAGAATTAAAGTCAGAACCTACACTCTCTTCACAGGTAGTCTTTCTTATCTTAATTTCTAATTATTTTATGTGCTTTTGGAAGTAATTTGCAATGAGATGTAGCGGCCAGTTTAACTTTAGACATCCCTTTTTGTCAGAAATGATTTATAGTGGGTGACTGCACCTTGCACTTAACCATCCATCTTCCCTTTTCTAACTGAACTGGAATTTATCTTCAAGAGACTCTACTAGGTGGATGTTAAAAGTGATAATAACTGCTCTTATGTATTATTTGTTATTTTTTTGTGTTTGAGAAAAAAAAAAGAAACCCAATCCCTGGGGTAATATGCAGTGTCTTGTGTAATTAAGAATGAATACCCCTTTAGGTATCAGAATGCCAATTCTAGTACCATTCCTGCTAGTTTTGGCCAACTTCTGCGTTCTCCATGTTCCCAGCTACTGCTGGTGGCTGTGGCGAAAGGACAGATCATTATAACAATCATCATTGCTTGCATTAATTTCATGTTTGTTCTGCTGAAATGTTGCATGAGCTGCTTTATAAACATTTTCCTTAATTCTCGCAACAATCACAAAAGGTGGGCACAAACATCCCTTATTATAGCAGAGAAACAGGTTCAAGATGAGCCCTGGTGACACAGCCAAGCGGGAGCAAAGCTGGATTTCAAATCGCATTTCTCTGGTTCCGTGGCAAAGCTCTCAACTGTGCCACGTTTCTCTCCTCTCATCTAGGATGGTGATGTGGCTCTGCCCAATTCTGCATTGTCCTCTAACCCATGGGCTCACCCATGATTTGCCCTGGCTGCTGCTTAGAGTCCCAAGGCCAAATCTGAGCTGGCCACGTTCTTTGGACCCTTGGGCGGAGCTCCCCGTGGCCAGCACTTGCTGGACCCACTGTTCCAAATCTGCCCAGTTTTTCCTTACACCCCAATTTGCTGGCCCCATTGTCCTCCCATCCCAGCATGTCTTGCGTTTGAGTCTACTTCCCTCCTGAGAGCTGAATTTTGGAAACAAGCTGAATTAAATATTTTAAAATCAAAGAACATAATCCCACTTTCCTATCCACTTGAGGTATTGAAAGATTTTTAAAACCTTTAAGGAAAGAGAGAGAGAGAGAAAAAAAAAAAAAGCTAAAGTTACAGCTTTGCTTGGTTTGCTTTTAAATGGAATTGTTTAGTTGCTCTTGCTTTTTTGTCCTGGGCCATCTGGTATTGACCAATATATCCTAGAAATTGAGTTCTTTGCTCAAATTTGAGAGACAGAGAGCAAGAGCAAGCATTTGTAGAAGTTGGGGAAAATAGGGACGGTGGCTGTTACTTTGGTTGTCCTTATTTCTGCACCCTCAGAATGGGGGTTCCTCGGTCAGTTGTGGCACCATCAGAATCTGGTGAAGCAGAGCCTGCCGCCAACCCCAATAGTCTTAACGATCTACCCCAGGTCCTACCCGTGTCTGCTTTCTCCTAAACAAAAGAAGGGCCTCAGAGGTGAAGTAAGCTGGCCAGGTTGGAATCCTGAGCCCCGATTCCTAAAAAAGTGTCTTCACTCCTCACTGTACTGAGGTGGGAGCCTTTGAATATTCTCCCCTAAAAGTTTAAGAAATCACCCCAGTCACTAGACTTGAACTGAATCCCTTGAAATGACTAATTAATATCCACCCTCAGCGGCTTCAGCAACAGATGCCAGCATGACAAATGAGATCTAGCAAAATGCTAATCACTCATGAGCCTGGATGCATAAAATGGTAGGACTGAAACCTCCATGGGCCACCCCAGATAGTGTGGCAGACAGAAACGAGCTTGGGATTTGAAGCCAGAGGATTTGGTGAATCCAGAGGGAACCTCTTTCTAAGTGTGAGTGATTTTTTAGACCAGTTCTGTAATCCTATAAGACAGGGAAAATAAAAATAGTTTAGTAGCTATTATTAGTATTAAATGGCAGTTATGAGTATTAAAACACGTCACAAAATGTAAAGTACTCTACATATGTTTGCTTTTTGTGTTGCTGCTGTTATTATTATTATGGACGTGCTAAAGAGAAGCGAACTATTTTATTGGAAAGGTGATAGTTACAAAAAATGAGGAAAGGGACTCTTATTTAACCTTGTGATCTCAAAAAACTAAAAATGAGTAATTCTGGATTAGAGGAGTTGGAGAGTCAGAGTGTCAAGAAGCCCCAAGACCCGAATGCTTAGGAATTTCCCCCTTAGCCTTTTGCATGGACATCAAAAGGGAAAATTCAGGTCTCAGTCTAGTTAGAGTCAACAAACCTTTACTGAATTTCTTGTTCCAGGCACTGTACAAGGTGCTAGGGTTCTGAGATAAATGAGACATCATTCCTGCCCTTTGGAAGAAAACAGGCCAAGGGAGGAAGTAATGTAACAGGCTACTTTGACACACTGTGGGAGGTTAGAATAGAGGTGCATTCATGGCGCACCAGCCATCTCTAGATCTCCAAATTCAATGGGGTTTTTTAGTCCTTATCTTACCCATGCTTGCCGATTCTCAAACTTGACACTCCTTCCTTCTTGAAAGTTGATGACCTTTGTCCATTTTTTACCTCCTTCCTGAATTCCTATTATTCTGTCTCCCTCTTCAACATTGGTGATTCCAAAATCTCCACCTTGGCCTTTGCTGTTATCATGGAACACTGTCTCCCTGATCGCTCTCATCTGCTCTCTTGATTTTAACCATCATCTTGTACTACAATTCCTTATCTGTTTATCTCCACGCTTGACCTCTCCAGTGATCTACAAATCCCCAAATCTAGCTCTTTGCTGGGCTCTTTTGGGTTACTTCAGGTTTAACCTGTTTCATGCTTAGTCTAATTATTATAAGCTGACACCTGGGTTACTTTCTAGATTGCTAGTATTTTGATAGTTTCCCACATTGGTACTCCCACATACGGTACATTACCATCTCATAATAGAATTAAAGATTTTTTTTCTAGGCCCTTTGTAGGAACATGACTCAGGTATTTCTGGTCAGATAGGTCAGTGCAAGACTTTGATAGGAAAGGAACACGAGGAGGCAGCTGTGGGAAGACTGAGCATCTGGTCCGTCATGGTGGAGGCATCTGGTTCTTTTGGGGTTCCTGTGGCGAGTTTCTGACATCCAGCCTCTGCTGTGTTCAGGACCAAATGGCTGGTGACAATGGGGGCCAGACTCTTCTGTGATTGAGTATTGCTTCTGAGTGCTTTCCAGATGTGTATCATTCAGATCCAGTTCTCTGGTTTCCTTAGAAATTCGACAAGCTACCAACATCCTATAGTAAATTATTTTCTATTTAAACCAGCTAGAGTATTTTTTCACAACTACCAATACTGACTGGTATGGGCCTCAAATTAAGAGTTTTGCTGTTATGTCTCAATGGAGTTCTACATACATTTGTATTAGTGTGCATGTGTGTGTGTGTGTGTGTGTGTGTATGAGAGAGAGAGAGAGAGAGAGAGAGAGAGAGAGAGAGAGAGAGAGAGAGAGAGAGAAGCCTTAATTTTTTTTAATAGACTTTATTTTTTAGATGAGCTTTAGGTTCACAGCAAAACTGAGTGGAAAGTACAAAGTTTCCATTTACTCCCTGCCCCTACACATGCATAACTTCCCCCATTACCAACATCTCCCACTAGACTGGTACATTCGTTACAGTTGATGAATCTGCATTGACATGTCATTATCATCCAAAGTCCATAGTGTATATTAACATTTACTTTTAGTGTTGTACATTGTATGGATCTTGATAAATGTATATTGACATGTATTCATTATTATAGGATCATACAGAATAGTTTTACTGTCCTGAAAGTCCTCCATTTCCCACCCCTCCCTCCTTCCTTTCCCCTGAACCTCTGATCATTTTACTGTTTCCACAGTTTTGCTTTTTCCAGAATATCATATAGTTGGAATCATACACTATATAGTTTTTCAGATTGGCTTCTTCCACTTAGTAATATGCATTTAAGGTTCAGTTCTTTCATGTCTTTTCCTGGCTTTATAGCTTATTTCTTCTTAGCACTGCATAGTATTTCTATGCATGGATGTATCACAGTTTATTTATCCACTCACCTACAGAAGGACATCTTGGTTGCTTCCAAGTTTTAGCCATTATGAATAAAGCTTCTATAAACATCAATGTGCAGATTTGTGTGGATATAAGCTTCCAACTTGTTTGGATAAATAACAAGGAGCATGACTGTGGGATTATATGGTAAGAGTATATTTATTTTATGCTGTAAGAAACTGTCAAACTTCCTTCCAAAGTGGCTTTACCGTTTTGGATTCTCACCAGAATTAGAATGAATGAATGAGAGTTTCTGTTGCTCAGTATTCTTCCCAGCAGTTGGTGTTGTCAGTGTTTTGGATTTTGGCCATTCTATTAATACTAGGTGCGTAGAGGTATTTCATTGTTGTTTTATTTGAAATTCTTCAATGACATATGATGTTGAGCATCTTTTCATATGTGTATTTGCCTAAAAGCATTCATTTTTAAATCATGCAGTTGCCATTCTATTTTGGTTCTCTTCATATGTCATTATGTTTGAAGTCTAAATAAATAAAGATGGCCCAGGGCTCTCCTGAGCTCTGAATCTGCTTTCAGTTGAAGGAAAAAGGATAAAGCAGAGGGAATGGAAATAGTTGTGAAGGAGTAAAAGATTGTCACACGGAGAGGAAAGTTAAAGAGTGATGCTCTTGAAAATGAAATATTAGAGAGTAGGCAATATATTTTCCTTCCATGAAGTTAGTTATTTACTTCTGGTTGAAGAGTGAATCAGAGTCTTCTAAATGTGTTCCACTTGGCTGTTTGGGAAGCAGCAAAAAAGCTGTGAAATAGATTTTTATGTGTGGTAGCTCCCCAATGGCCTTAGGAAGAGTCGTTTTGCAGTGAATGATCATCTTGATTATGTAGGAAATAGCTCTGCATGCTTTCAC